AACACCACCGCCACAGCCTTGCAGACGATACTCTGGCTTCCGCGAGCGCTTCGTTTCTGCGGGAGCCAAAGCCGGGCTGAGGGAGGTGCGGGCGGCCGGAGCTCCGAGGGGGCCAAAAATTCATATTTGCAAAGGGCAGGGGGGGGCAAGGTGCAAAAAAGGTACCACAAGCTGCAAGTGGCGAAAGGAAAACCTTGACAGAGATGAGAGCTGCTGTAGAAGTGCATTTAGCTTTTAAACTTGCACAGCTAATTCTCGGTGCGCAGAGGCTTTTTGCTATTTAATTGCCTTTTGCTATTTATTTGCCTTTTGCTATTTATTTGCCTTTTGCTATTTATTTGTTTGCTTACTGCAACGCTCCAAAGAACCAATTTGAGGAAAAGTACAAATCACAGCAAGCTTCATACAATGACTACGTTAAGAACGGAGACAAAACTGCCACTAAACAGAATATCTTAACATGGCCTATATTGTAGTCTGAAAAAGATGAGATACAAGCACAATTATTTTCCATTCCCCTTCCACTGCACTGGAATAAAACAATTTCTTTTTGCACAGGGTATAAAAATGAAAATTTGACCAAGTCATCTAGCTAAATTCAGTGCAGGTGACAGAAAATAAATGATGTAGCCATTGCAGTTTTTAAAGTACTAATTCTGAAAAAAACCATTCTATAGACAGCTATGCCAGCCAGCGCAAACATGCTCCCAGAGGAAGAGCAAATAACTGAAACCAACAGATAGGAAGCAGGGGGGAGGTGCTAACAATCCCCAAAATTTTAAGCATAACTAGTTAAATGTAAGATATAAAGATTCCAAAGAATAGGACATCCACTGTTTAAAAAAGAAGAGTAACCTACATTAAAAAATTGCCTTCATGTAGTGTAAACTATGTAACAGTTAATAAATATTTATTCCATTTCAGACATCTCTGCTGATCAGTAATGCATCTATTTCGAAAAATTAGGTCTTTTTCTTACTGAGAAAGCTGCTTCAAGAAAGACAGAAAATAAATTACTTAAATGGCTTTAATCTCTCTATGCATAATGATCTCTCATTTAACATAACACTGAAAAGAATTAGTAAGCATACATAAACTGTTTAAACTTAGTTTAACATTCCAGTGTTTATATAGTTATTAATTTATAAAGAAAGGAGTATTT